ATTCTGTGATTCTGTGATCTTCTAGGTACAATAAAACCTACTAAGTATTAAAAATAACCTTTCCAAACGAGGTGAAACTGATTTTTCTCTTTTTACAGAACATCACCTCTCTTATTATTCTACTTGGAACAAGTTCACATTTGCAGGACAGCCACAGAATGTCTTACAACCGCCCAAATTATCTTGAAAATAGTATTTTCAAAACAAAAGACAGGTCACTGTCAACCAGGATTCAACTATAGATATCTTCATCATGGACCCTAATATTGAGCAAATCTAAAAGCCATTACTTGTGCATTTTTAACTCGGCATTGTTCTCATTGGATGAAAACGAATGGATAAAACCACTCTGTCAAATATCAAGGTATCTTTTCGTCTAATGGATGTGCAGAGTGTGTATATAAAAGCAAAATGTTTCTAAATACTACTTGCAAATAACACTAAGCATGAATTACTTATATTTTTATTTAAATCTCGATAATACCAGTAAGATGACAGATGTTGGAAAAGCATGAGAAAGCAAGTATTTGCTAATACAAACTATACTCACTTAACAGCATTTGGATCCAAGCTAGCATACAAATAGTACAAGCACTTCATTCGCTCTTCTGTTTCCAAATTGTGAGGAACAAGATACTGAGCAAAGATCTTCTCTACTAGTAATCTGCAGGAAAAGACAACATAAAAACTGTACATTTCCAAAAGTGGCGATACCTTTCAGACAAGCTGAAAGAACAGAAAATATTGAAAGTCACTGAAACTATGTTATGTTTTTCAACAGAGAAGCAAAAAGCAGTGGTCTTTTTCTGATCTGTAAGGATCCCTTCCACTGTTGATAGAAATATTAGCAAGAACTGCTTCTTGACAGCTTTTCCACATTCTTTCATTTTCATCTCTAAGAGGGTGCAATTGCTTTATTTGTTACCATCTGTCCTGGGTTAAGCTGAGACAGAATTAACCTTCTTCATAATAGCTAGCAAGAGGCTGTGTTTTGGATTTGTGCTCAGAAGAAAGCTGATAAAAAGTGATGTTTACGTGGCTGCCAAGGTCTTTCAGCTTCTCTGGCTGTCTGCAGACCGGAAAAGCTGGGAGGGAGCACAGTCCCAGTTACTAGCCCAGGATTTGATCTTAGGTTCGGGACTGAGACACAAAGTGGCCAATAATCTATTCCATAACATACAAGTCACGCTTAGTATATAGGTGAGGACCCTCTGGAAGATTGCCCACCCCACCCCCTGCCCTCAGCTCTCGGTCTGGGACACTTGGACTGTTCTCTCCATTCCGTAAGTGCGGTTTTGGGACTCTCTCTGCTCCGGGATTGTTAGCTGGGAACAGGCTGAGCCTTGGTCATCGGGTGGGGGGCAGCATCACTGTGTATCACTCATTTGTATATTTGTATATAGTATTATTTTCAATATTATTGTAGTTTAGTTATTAAATTGTCCTTATCTCAACCTACGAATCCTTTTTTCCCTTTACCCCTTTAATACTCTCCCCTGTCCTTTGGTGGGGGTGGGAATTGTGTGAGTGGGTATGTGGTTTGGCCCCCAGCCAAGCGCAAACCCATCACACCATCCAAATTCTCCTTTTTCTTTTGGCTCTAAGAATCTCCTTTTGTTCACTCTTACATAAGATAAAAGGATACAGATAGTAAAAAAGCCCAAACAAAGGACAAAGAATATAAGAACATAACTCGAGGGGGAAGAAAGATACAAATCTGCAGTATTTTCGAGGGAAAGGTTAAGATAAAACTAGCATTTGAGAGAAAAGCAAAACATGTGAAACTACTAATTATTCTAATACAGAAGCTAAAAATCATCATTAAAAAGGTGGAGACAAAGGAACACCAAAACATATACAACAAAAGGAGCAAAAGGAAAACTGAGAGCAAACGAAACAAGCAAAAACATTCTTGAATTTTTTTTAAACAGTAAAACATTTTTAAAGTTTATGTAAATAAAATACAAAAAATACAAAACTTGAACTACAAAATATGAGTGTAGACTTCATCTAATTATAGCTCCCGAAATGGAAGAATATTCAGACAAATTCATAGCAATGAGAGCTGTGCACAATGTTCAGCTATACAATTTGATATTTATGGATAAATATTTTGTGTGTTTGAATGTACAAACTTTTTCACTATGATTCCTGTTAAGTACTCTGGGATTGCCTTGTACATAGACCATAGAAGGCAGCACAGATCAAACACACCTTATTCCTGCTCAAAGAAAATTCCAAGAGACATGATGGCATGGCAGAAGAATAAAAGGATGATCATGAGTATGGATACAACTATCTCAAGGCACCCCACTAGTATTAAAGAAAGCTTGGCTTTCTCCCTTTAAACGTACATTTTATTACTGATGACTCCAAACACTATATTGCTTGGGGAACAGGATCTTCAGATCTCAGGGGACTCAATCTGTTTAACATACCACGAGACTGGAGTCATCAGAGTTATCTTACTCATTTATGAACATAGCCCTAGACCATGTCTCTAAAGACACATGTTCCAGAAAAGCTGTCAGTACAAATGGTGAGACTGTATCATGTCTTCCCTGGTCCATGTTGGTTAGTGTAAAGATTTAGAAATAGGGAACACCTCCAGGACACACTTTTCTCCTGTGAGGAAAGTCATTGGCTAGCATATCAAGAGCAGGTAACAGGGCAGCGCTGAAGATGTGGTTATTTTACTCCATTCCCTATGCATTTGTTGTAAAACAACGAAGCTCAGAGCACAGGTGATAAGCAGTTCTCAGTCTTGAGCAGACATGCACATCAATAGTCAAGTAACACCAAAAACATTATCAAATGACTGAGCTAAGGATGCGCGGAGGTTTGTTTTATTCCACTTCAGGCCTCAATACTGTGCTATACTGCGCTATTATCTTCTGAAAGAACTAGTGTTATCCTATACACACAATAGAAAACACTCCAAGGCTCAGACAGCTGTTCACTGTTACTTTTTACGCTCCTCCCTTGTTATGGAAGGAAAACAGGCCAAAGTCAGCTAATTTTTACCTATGCTTGTGTGTTTAAAGGACTGGACGGACTCCAGACTTAAAAAATCATAGCATTTCTACAGCTCTTCAGGTGCTAAAAGTACTAACTTTCTAATTCCAACAATGATAACATTGACATGCATTTACTCCTCCACTCTGAGATGGGGAAACCTATTCAATGGTGTGACTGAGCAAGAACTTCATTGCTGGCCTTAAAAACTAGTAGAATTTGGATTAAAATTGAGGGTACCAAATTGAACGAGAGGAACACTGAAAAATTAAACCACCTATCTTTCAATGTGGATACCCAGAAAACAAACAGCATATAATCCATGCCTACTCATGAAAAAGCCAGTTTCAATGGCTTAATCAGACTTCCAGAAGAAATCATGTCAGAGAAAGAAACTCTTCTTTGATG